GTTCCATATATTATTATAATATATGGATTTAGAAGTTTCGTCTTATAATAACCAAGAACTTTCAGAAGAATCCGAAAATTTCTGACTAAGTTAAAAGAAATCTATTTATTTAATACTATACTGCCTATACCAGAAAGAAAATAAATGATTCTGAAAGCCAGAAGAGAAACCCACTACTTTGATAAGAGTCAATGGCCCACATCAATGTTTACAGCAGTTCAAGTCACAACAGCTAAGCTATGGAACCAACCTAGGTGCCTCGAAACAGATGAATGGATAAAGAGAATGTGATCTCTACACACACACACACACACACACACACACACACACACAAAAGAAATATTACATATTACACAGCCATAAAGAAAATGAAATGATGGCATTTGCCAGTAAATGGGTGCGAACTGGAAACTTGGTTTAAGTGAAATAAGCCAATCCCCCCCAAAACAAAGGTTGAATGATTTCTCTGATATAAGGAGGCTGATTCATAGTGGTGCTGGGAGGGGATGCATGGGAGATAAGATGAATTCTAGATAGGACAAAGGGGAGGGAGGCTGGGGAAGGGAGGGGGCAGAGGGGTAAAAAGGATAGTGAAATGAGATGGACATCATTACCCTAAGTACATGTATGAAGACACAAATGATGTAAATATACTTTGTATACAACCAGAGATATGAAAAACTTGTGCTCTATGTGTATAATATGAATCGTAATGCACTCTGCTGTCATATAAAAAAAAAGAGCAAAACTAGGCAGTTTTGGTTAAATTACGTAGTGATAAAAATGTGAAGAGGCAGGATGATTTCAAGTTTAAAGCTGGCCTCAGCAACTTGGCTAGATCCTATCTCAAAAGGTGCTCAATTCTTTTATTTTTTTTTTTTTGTTTGTTTGTTTTAAAAAGAGAGGTGAGAGAGAGAGACAGAGAGAATTTTTAATATTTATTTTTTAGTTTTTGGCGGACACAACATCTTTGTTTGTATGTGGTGCTGAGGATCGAACCCGGGCCGCACGCATGCCAGGCGAGCGCGCTACCGCTTGAGCCACATCCCCAGCCGGGCGCTCAATTCTTGAACAAGAGTAAAATCATTTGTTTTTTAAAACTATTTAGGAAACTGTTGTGTGCTTCACTAGAGAGGACACATCCACCACACCTCAGGGCTGCTTTCTAGATAAACAGAAGTTCCTAGATTGAAATCTTATCAAAATGCCATGATTATAATTTTATATAATTTGAGATATATCTAAATTACAACTACCATGAGGCTGGGGGTTATAACTCAGTGGCAGAGCACACGTTATTATATATAAGGCTCTGGATTCAATCCCTGGCACTAAGGAAAAACTATAATTTCTGTGACACTCATTCCAAAGTGTACAAATACCATACATAGGACCTCATTATTCTTAAAAATCCACTGAAATGGAAGAATGACATAGAAGTTTTTATAATTCTGAGAAAGCCTACACTACACAGATATATCAATAGCCTAAGCACTTGATTTGACAGCTATGCCTCCATTTGTATTTTTGTGACAAAACTCAAAATAATACTGACTTAAATTTGTCTGATTCTGGGAATTTTCAGATATGGTTGGCCCCATTATCCATGAGTTCTGCATCTATGGATTCAAGCAGCCATGGATGGAAAATTTTTGAGGGGAAAAAAATGCATTTGTACTAAAAGTGTATAATTTTTTTTTCCTTGTCATTATTTAATAACCAATAGTTTAGCAACTATTTTCACTGTACTAGGCATAAGTAATCTAGGTACAATTTAAAGTATACAAGAGGTGATATGCCTAGGTTGTACTTGAACATCTGCAGATTTTGATATCCATGAGGTAGGAAGGTGGGAGGGGTCTTGGAACCAATCACTCAGGAATGACAAGGTATGACTGTATGTATATCCAATATAATACCTCGTTTTCATTGCAAAACTTTTGGTGACTCCTTTGTCTTTTTAGGCCTTTTTTTTTTTTTCACTATTTAGGTTAGGTACACAACATGTTAATTAGTCTCTTCCTTTCCTAACTCACTGTGCTGTCTGACCATCTCCATTAAAGGCAATGACCTCAAGTGTTCTCTTCAAATATTTTCCCCTCTTTAAAGGACAGTGTTTTTTTATTAGAAACAACCTTCTTAAGTAAACATCATGCCCACATTCCCCCACCTTCTGAAGAAGTGTTTCCCTAGTACATCTACTAGTATTTTTAAACAGTGCCTCTAACAAATGAGGTCCTATCCCCTTCTACTTTCTCTGAAGGGTTTACTTATCCTATCCATGGTTCAGATGCAGAGATAAGGAACATAGGATCAGGAAGCCCATTACCAAAATCTGAATCTGGCTTCTGTTATTTAAAACTTGTGTGATTTGGAGAACATTATTCAAGGTTTTTTGTTGTTATTATTTCTTTTTCTTTTCTTTTTTGTAGCAGGATTGAACCAGGTACCACTTAACCACTAAGCCATATTCCCAGGACTTTTTAGTTTGAGACAAAGTCTCACTAAGTTGTTTAGGGTCTTGCTAAATTGTTGAGGCTGGCCTTGAATTTACAATCCTCCTGCTTCAGTCTCCCATGTCACTGTGATTACAGGTAAGCACTTCCACACCTAGGCTCAAGTTTTCTAATATACAAAAGTGTGAGTGATACCACCACCTAATAAATAGCCATCATGAGGACTAAATGAGATAGTGCGATGTGACTTTTGCAGAATGCCTGGCACAGAAATAGAACTTGTTACTATCATTACTATTAATAAATACCTCTTATCACCATTTATTTAAACATGCTCAAGTCTATGGAGGTGGCTTTTTGCATTTCAATTCTTTCCTTACCCATAGCCTTCTTTTCATGCTTTTTCCCTGTCATTTCTAACCCTCCAGTTGTACTTCTTTTTAAATTTTTTTTTTGTTATCGTTGTAGATGGACACAATACCTTTATTTTATTTATTTATTTTTACATGGTGCTGAGGATCAAATCCAGTGCCTCACACGTGGCTAGGCAAGTTCTCCATCACTAAGCCACAATCCTAGCCCCACAGTTATGTTTCTTACCACTTTGTAAAACTATTTCCAGCAAAGTTGTCTCCTTACTAAATACAGCTTTTAGTAAGCATGTCAACTAATTTATATGCAGAGTACAAAACATTTTTAAAATAACACAGTTGAAATAAAATATACATAATTATTTTAACACCCACATACCCTCGATTAAAACATAACTTCGAATGTAAAGACTCCCATTTTCTTATACTATTACATCAGAAAATGTAACAAGAAAATAAATCAATGTTCTAAAAAAAAAAAATCAAAACCCTGTTAAGACACAGAATGTTTTATCTTTTACTAATTTCCTCAGTATAATTTTAGATGGTATACTTTTAAAGGAATATTTGTGAATCATCTTTTTGATCATAAATACAAAGCAAATGTTACAACTTTTATTTGAAAATTTGGTGATTAAAAAAAATTACAAAGTAAAACCAAAAATACTTGCATAAATTTGCCTCTAAAAATTTTAAGAGCTAAATTAAATGCCACATATAAAACAGATTCTGAGAATAAATAAATATATTTATATAGTAACTAAAGGCTTAAGGAATTTTTATTAAGGAATAAGGAATAAATTTGTGACAAGAAAATTTTAATCACAAATTTTGCCTTGTTCATTTTTAGCTTTTAACTTTCAGAATTCAAGTTTTCAATCCACCCAAACTAAAAGAAGTATGGAACAGCAGAAATATTCCCACAAACTGGCACTGAGTAAAAAGCCACTATTAATTCTATGAGCACTACTACTCAAAGAATCTTCCCCAGCAACCAATAGGACTACTCTCCCACACTTAGCAGTCCTTTTCCAAAGGTGGTTGTTTGAGAAAAATCTACACTGCAGTTGCTATTATTGGTAGAATTAGAGCCAATTTTTGGATAGAAAAAATGGCTAGATTATAAAGGAGAAAGTCAACTTAACCACTGGTTATTGCTACCTATGTCCTGATCCAAGTACCCAGCATGGAGATAAGTGTGGGGGACAAAAAAATGATCAGAAATCCAGGCCAGAGGAAGAAACACTTTTCCCTATTACATACAAAGGTGCATAATAAGCTAGCTTGTGGTTTTGGACCTAAAAAAAAGTAAAAAGTAAAAAGAGGCTGCCGGACAGTACCTGATTGGGGAAGGTAAAGAAATTAACTTCCACTTAGTACCTATTCTATACTTAGTAATATTCTTGGTACCAAAAAAAGTATTATTAGATTATTTCCTTTAATACCTTCTTCTCTATCATAAGGGGCATTATTATTCCCCATAATTTGTATGAGAAAAACTGCAGATTCAACTAAACTGCAAAATAAGAAGGAAAAAAAAACCTGCAGATTCAAGTAAATTACCAAATAACTGAATCTGAGTTTTTCTCAGGTCCATCTTTTGTGAAAAAGGTAGAGATGTGTTGAATAACACATGCCAGACCTGGAGTAAGAACGATTTTTCTTGGTGGTGGTGGGGAGCGTGTTCCATAATTTACTTTCTCCTAGGTATTTTCAGGGTAGAATAAATATCTATTAAAAGGTAGGTTAAGAACACCATAGTGTGGAGTCTAATATTCCCATGAGGTTGGCCATGTATAATAAATTTTGTGTTCTCCCCTGGCCTTTTTTAAAAAAAGGAATACCATAGCTTATTAAGACCCCAGACATCTGTCTTAGCAGAATAAAATACAATCATGTCATGATTAACAAAACTAGAAATCTGAGATACTCACTTGAGAACCAAAACTTTAGTAACTACTGGCTTACAGTTACTGGCCTCCTTATGGATTAATGCCTAAAAGAGGCCATCATACAACACACGTTTTGAAATAAAATGTCTCTAAATGAAACTGAATAGAAATTAACATCATGATGCTCCAGTTTCCTTAAAAGAATAAGGATTATTTTCAAGATCACATTTTACCAATGTATAAACATTACTCTTTGTGCTCTAATTAAAGTGTCTCCTCACCTGAGGGCGTGTTCATCAAATTCTGCTGCACTGGTGGACTGGTTGGGGCTGGAACATTCATCTGAGATAGCATGGCCTTCCTGGGGTCTTGCCATGTTGTAGTCTGATCAATGTGACTGAGACAAAACAAATCACTGCATTAGATTAACAAATACAATGCCCTAAACCCAACAAATCCCCTATCAAAACAGAGTAGATATGAGGACTAATAACTAATTATCTCACTGCTCTCACTCTTCCTTTGCAACGTTTCTTCATCAAAATTTGCCTCTTAAATTTTTTTAAGTGTAAGATTTGAAAAAGTTATGCCTGGAATTTTAAGTGAAGAAAAATAATTCCCACCTAGTAGACAATTATTTCTCACTTCTAACTTAAAGATTAAAATGCAGTTTGTAAATTAAGCATCTAAAACAGTAATCATATAACTAAAATTCAAGATTCACAAGAGACTTGCCCATTTTTTTCTCCTAGATCTAAGAATGTCAAATAACATATCATTTTTAGGCCTAAAACCCCTTTTTAAAAGTACAACACAACAAAAACAAAACCCTGAAAGTCAAATTATAATAAATACTCCAGTTTTAAAACATAACTGAAAACTTCATCTATAGGTTTTAATTTTCTCCTATGATTTGAGTAACTACGTATGTCTACACAAAATTTTTGTTACTTGCTAAACATTTCCTCCATATTGAGAACTTACTGTAAAATATATGTATCCCCATAAAATTGGGGATGAAAACAGCTAAAGTCTATGAAAGATAAAAACTACAAGACATCTAGCAGAGTGACTGGTATATGGACTTTCAATAAATATTAGTTTTATTTTTCAGCAAAGGTTCATTGTTTCAGTGAAATAAAACTACAAATACTATATAAATAAAACTACCTAAAAATTTATTCCAAATAATAGCCAGAAGAGTGCATGCGTGAACTTCTCTTTAGAAACACATTTTCTGGGGCTGGGGTTGTGGCTCAGCAGTAGAGCGCTCAACTAGCATGGGCAGGGACCCAGGTCCCATCCTCAGTACCACATTTAAAAAAAAAAAAAAAAAAGGCATTGTGTTGTGTCTACCTACACCTAAAAAAATATTAAAAAAAAAAAAGAAAAAGAAACACATTTTCAATAGCAAAAATTTGGAGGCCAGTAAATGTCCAATGATAGGAGATCAGTTAAATAAATATTTACATATGATGACTACTGTGCAGCTATTAATATTTTAGAATATTTAACAGCATGAAAAACATTCATAATTCAGTTTTTAAAAGGTTATATATAGTATGTAAAACATAAAGCTAATTGCTAAAAAGAATACGCAGAATACATGCATATGAAAAAAAAAACCAAAGAGTACATGTACATAGTTAAAGCATATAGAAAAAAAACATTAAAATGTTTTATCAGTGTTTATTTTCAATAATAAAATCATATTACAATTCTGCTATGCTGGAGGTGTAGGTCAGCAGTAGAGTGTTGCCTAGCATGTGCGAAGTCCCGCATTCAATAGGTGGCACAGCAAAAACAAAATTAAGTAGAAAATAGACCACTTTGCTTTGCTAGGGTTCTCTATTATTAAATAATTACGAACTCATTATTTTTAAAATGGGAGAGAGAAACCGAGTCATTTTCCAAAAGGAAATCTCAAAATCATTTGTAGTTATTAAAATTTTAAATCTGAGTTCTTACTTCTTGAGTCATCCCATGACAAATAACCAAGAAAATCCTTAAGAAATGACACCCTGTGTCTTAACTATATGGAAATAGAACTGGAATTCTACCTTATCATTAGCATAGTAATAAAGGGTCATTTACTCAGAATAGGCTTTAGATTTGGAGAAGAGTTCTTTTAGCTTCTTAGCAAGCAGAAAAGGGATGAATTAGGAAGGGTCAATATACTTAGGGATGACAATGGTACCTGCCACTTTAAGGCTATTACAGAACTGTAAATGTTAAGAAAAAATATTTATTTATTTATCGAAGTATGCAATGTCTCCTCCCAGCACCTCTTTTTTTCAGTGTCTGTATCTTTTCTATAGCAGCAGTACTAGCTTTTGTTCAGGTCTAGACAATACAGGACATACTTTATTCAAGTTTTGTTATCTAAACACTTTATTCTAAAAGACCAAGTTTTCATCAAGCTCAGTAAAGGTTTGTTCCTCTTCCCTTTCAATCTTCCATGTGAGCCAAGTCACTTAATTTTAGGAACTTTTTTTGCTTCAGAAATGGAGAGCAAACCTAAGGCCTTGTGTATGCTAGTTAAGCTCTACCCCTGAGCTAAACCCACAGGCTCCATCCTCTCTTTAAGTGATTTTTTTTTTCAATCCTTCTGAGAGACTCAGAATGACACATCATCATCCTCACTATTGAACTCTAGTCCTAGAGAAGTAAGATTTCAGGTAGCATTTAATGGCTTCCCCACCAATTTGATGGCAATGACAAAACTGTCACCTTTCCTAAGATCAGAACTCCTATGTGTTGAAGGTCCAGGTTTGAGTTTTACAAGACTTACATCTCATAGAAGGATAATAAACTCTTTTTAAATATTTCTATATACTGTATCCTTAATTAACTAGTGGGATCATGCAAAGTCATTGTTTGAATGACTTATTAAGAATTTCTGCCTTTGGGGGTTCCTACATTTTGCTAAGTCTTCCAATATGAAAGACCAAATTATACAATGTGAAAGATACAAAAATCAGTAGGGACACAGACCTTGGTCCAAGTATAGCTGTGTGAGTTTTATCAGTCAGTTTTATTGTTTCCCAGATAGAGTGAGATGACAGGGTTTAACTTGGTCATATATCCAATGGCCTTTTCTTTCCAAAAATAGTTGCGGAGAATAATTTATTTACATATCTTGAAAAGAATGTAGAATTTCACATTGATCAATTAGACTATTCTTAGAAACAAGATAAATTAATCATTCTAATTATTTTCTATTTTTAACTCTGAAAATACTGATTTATAAGACAAGTACCTGGAGTGGGCTTAGACAACCTATGTTGCTTTAAAAAAAAATCCTTTATGTAAATCAACAGTGTTGTCAACTATATATACTTAATACCAATCACTGATACTTTGGAAAGATCTGCTATTACTTCTTGAAGCTCCTCATGTAATCTTTCCCCAACTGACCCACAAAGAACTATTTGACTTTTTAAAGACCCACGTGGCTACCTTTTGTGGAAAAGTAAGGCAGACATATATTAAAACTCCAGCTCTGTCAATGACAATCTAGATTGTGCAGGCAAGTTTTATTAATCTGCTTCATCTTCAGTATGATGGGACTGATTTCGCTGAATGTGTTGGTGTACACTGAAATCCCAGCAACTTGGGAGGCTAAGGCAGGAAGATTACAAAGTCTGAGGTCAATCTAAGCAATTTAGCAAGACACTGTCTCAAAATAAAACCCAAAAGGACTAGAGGTACAGCTCCATGGTAAAGTGCCCCTGGGTTCAATCCCCAGTACCAAAGGAAAAAGAAGGGGGAGGCCTCACATTATTTCCTTACTTCCTAGGGTTATGAGGATTAAATTCAGTAACATTTATAAAACCAACTAGGACTATGGCTCCTGGTATACAAAAGTCCCTCAAACAGTTTTCCTGGCTTCATTCCTTTGCTAGCTTGACATTTAGAATAGGAAAAACTGTGGTGAATGGGCCAAAAATATGTTTAAGAGTTCATTCAAGGGAGGATGAGAGATCTAGGGCTTTAAGAGCTTTAAAAGGAATTTGGTTTTCATCTGGTAGATGATAAAAAGATGCCTTAAGTAGACACATTAGATTTTGATGCAGGAAACAGAACAAAGTGTTTCTAAATGATTAGTTCAATCTACACAAAGACATCAGGTTAGAATTAGGAATGAACTAGAAAAGGAATCCAGCAAATGAAGACATACTACTTCCTAGAAGAAGAACTATAAAGTAAGTTGAGAATAAAAGAAAAATTTCATTCCTATAACCAAATGTCAAGATATAATTGTTGGAAACTTCTCTGTACATATATTTCTTAACTTAAGCTAGAAGATGATCAACCCTGTCAATTTAAACTGAGGTAGAGAACAAGCAACATTTCTAAGTACCAGCTATAGATCATCCCAATAAGTTCTAAAACTTCAAATTCTTGGCTATTTTATTTTCAAGTACTGAATCTTATTATCTACAGGACACTAGTTAACATAATGGAAAATGGGCTTTATAGTAATAGGAAAATGCTGAGATTTTCTTACATGTACCCTCAAATTTTAGGATTAATTTTATGTTGCTAATTTGTGAAAGTACCACAGAATTAAGGTAAAGTTAGCAAAATAAAAGTTAGTGATTAATATTGATTCTAATAGTGTGATAAAGGTTGTGAATCTCAAAGAATGTATTATAGCCCTCTTCCTAGGACCAGCAACACTAATAACACCTGAGAGCTGGTCAGAACCACAGAACATCAGGCTCCATTTCAATCTACTGATGAAGATCTGCAGTTTAATAAGATTCACAGGCAATCTTAAAGAATAAGAAGTACTGCCTTAGAGACTCTTTTGAGACTTGCTCAACTGGTTTTTTTTAAAAGGGTGAAAAATTTATGAATTATAAACACTACACACTTCAGTCTGAATGGCAATTATCAAGAATACGGGCAACAATAAATGTTGGCAAGGATGTGAGGAAAAAGGTATACTCATACATTGCTGGTGGGACTGCAAATTAGTACAACCACTACGGAAAGCAGTATGGAGGAGATTCCTCAGAAAACTTTGAATGGAACCACCATTTGACCCAGATATCCCACTCCTCAGTTTATACCCAAAGGACTTAAAATCATCATACTACACTAATGCAGTCTCATCAATGTTTACAGCAGCTCAATTCACAAGAGCTAAACTATGGAACCAACCTAGGTGTCCCCCAATAGATGAATGGATAAAGAAAATGTAGTATATATATTCAATGGAACATTACTCAGCTTTAAAAAAGAATGAAATTATGGCATTTGCCAGTAAATGGATTGAGTTCGAGAATATCACACTAAGTGAAATAAGCCAATCCCAAAAAGCCAAAGGCTGAATGTTTTTTCTAATATACAGATGCTAATTCACTTAAAAAAAAAAGGAACAGACAGGGC